TGGTTCTTTTGCAACTTTGCACTCAACTTTTGAAGTCAAATATTTTTTTTGTCATACTGGCAAAAGATAAGTGTGGGAAGTAGCATTTTGTACAATGTTGTCGCTTAGATACAACAACAACCCAGAAAAATCCCACAAGTGGGGTATGGGAGGGTAGAGTGTACGTAGACCTTACCCCTACCCCGGAGAGGTAGAGAAGCTGCTTTCGAAAGACCCTCGACTCAAGAACATGTTGTTGCTTAGATAATAAAACTGTTTTTTCTACTCTGTTTAGTTGGATTTATTGTTTATGAAATAGATTGAATTAGATGTTGTTTATGAAATGAATTAGATTGAATGTTGAGTTTGGTATTTGAATGCTTAATTGTATTTAGTCTTGTATTGTTGGTTGTACATTCAGTTTGGCCGGTGGTGTAGTTCTAAAAACAGAATTGGCCATGAAAATATTTTCCAGATTTCCCAGGAATTTCCCACCGATGTTGTGGGAATTTTTGTTCCTTTTTCCTAGAATTTCAATGTTTCCCACTGATTCTCGTGGGAATGTTCATATATTTATTTCCGTGAAAAATTGCTAAATTAATTTTAATACTTCCCACAGAGATGGTGGGAAATTTAAGAAAATTAAGTTATTATATTTTCTTACTTTTCCAGTATTGTCATGGGAAATTCCACTATGTGACCCCACCAAGTTCACGTGAAATGCTGTCCTGGGAAACTATTTTCCCACCAGCCCTTTTCCCACTGAGCGTCTCCCCTGGGAATGTCGCAAGAATATTTAAATTTCACACGGATTTCCCACCGATATGTCCGAGGGAAAAGACTGTGTTTCTAGTAGTATACGTAGTTATCACACGGTTCCAGCTTTTGTAATCTCCGCTTAGGAAATAAGCCCAAGTTAACTTTTTTTAAAAGGGAAAATAGCTTTCTGTTAAAGAGTGACCGAGAGAAATTAGGACGGATAAAAATATCTAATGGTGAAAAAATTCAAACATTGATAGAATATATAACTTAAACTCTTTATTTAATATGGGACATGATCCAAGTAAAACTTGAGGAAGTGGAGACATTAGGAATCTCAAAGGAGTTGGATCCGTTAAGATGTACGTCTTAGTGTTAAAAAAAATTAAAATCTTAGTTGAAAAGAGTTTGGTAGTGTAAGGTATCATTTGTTTTTACCATAATGTTAAAATTTATGAATTTGAATACACATCAACTTTAATAAGGTGGTGTTAAAGGGTGAATTGATTTCAATGTTACTATCTGGTTGTTTTTGCTTGGAAACTATGGAATTGTCTCGTCACTATAGTTTTCTTCGTCTGGAAAGTTGGGAGGATCTTGGCCTGTGCATAAAGGAGGTAATCATTTGTTACGCCATATCTTCAGCATTTGGAGATTTCATGAGGTCTTGATGATGTTAAGTGTAGGCTTCTAAATGTATCTTCGTTGTTCAGTGCTAAGCTTAATTTATACTACTCATGCGTGACTGAGCTTCCGGGTGATTTTGTATATGTTGAGAATGACAGATGTCGTGATTATCATCATGTTTTTTGGACCCTCGTTTACGATTATCTTCAAAATTTAGTCATGTAACAAAGCTAACAATCGGAACTTGATTTGTTATTGACTCAAAATTACTTAAGTTGCAGCATTTCAGTTTTAGCAAATAGTTGCAGAATTCAATATAAGACTATAGTTAACTACTTTTGTGAACATGAAAACTTCTATGAAAGAAAATCATTTTTATGATTTTTTTAGTTTTTTGTCAACTTTTGGAGCCAGATATTTACTTTATCATACTGGCAAAAGATAATTTAGCATTGTTGTAGCTTAAAGTGTGTAGATACTTAACTTTGTCATATACCATATGTCTGTGGTGAATTATTTTCTTTTTCTCACTAGTCTCATTTGTAAATACTGCACCAGGTCCTGTTCATCTTCAGCTCGACGGAGTGCTGTGCAAATATTTTTCTAATGCAGAATGCCAATATATGGGTAGTTGTTAATATAATAAGCATATTGATGGTTGCCGCTGCCCCGCATCCATCTTATATCGATGGTTTCCCGCTGCCCCCTTGAGTCAAGTTATTTTTGCAAAGTAGAAAATATAGATGTAAAGGGCTGGATATCAAACTCTACATTTCCCTGTCTCAGGAGTGTTAATATTATCTGTTTCACTGGGATGTGTCAGAAGGAGCACCATAGTAAGCTTTTTGAACTTACAATTTCTACTAAAGAATGCAATGGTTTTGGAGAATAAAATGCTGGAAATGTGCAGAGATTTAGCTGTGAAATTGTTAGCTTGCCCAAGACCCTCCATCCACTTTACTGTGATTTTCCGTGACTCAGATTTCAATGACTAGAATGCAAGTGTTATTATTTCTCAGCTCACCAGAAATGGTGCTTTATGATATATATTCTTTTTGTGATGTTACCCTTATGGGAGTGTATGCCAGGTGTTATGGATACTTGCATTCTCATGAAGCGTTTATTGTTGCATCTAGACATTTTCTTCATCTCTAGCTTCTTCAAATTATCAACTTTTTATTGTTCCTTGTTCATATGTCTGACCATTTCATCTGATGTTGTTTGGATTTTCTTTTCTTCTTTACTTCACTAAATTTTTTTGCTTCAGTAGAAGGAACCAATTTCCATTTCTCCTTTCTTTTTGGAAGAGTACCTCACAGTGGCATTTCATCAGTGAGCTGCACTAACAGTTGTTTGCTCTATTTTGCTGTGCTTTCTGGTTTTGGTGGTTGAACCGTAACCATTTGCTAATGTCAGAGGCGGATGTATTATATGGATGTCAGGTTTCGGCATGGAGCATAAATTTATGTGTAAAAATTAGTAAAATTGTAACAAATAGTCGATATGAACCCATAACTTTAAAAATACAATGGTTTCAATGCTAATAATGATAAAGGTTAAACCCATAAAGTTTAAAGTCTAGCTAATATTACAATGACATTGAAATGAAACAACAATTGCTCTTTCTGTTTTCCCCTTCGTTTTTTTCTTTTCTGGTGGATACATGAAGATATTGAAATGAATACATATCTCAGCTACTTGGTGTGCTAAAAGATTATCATTCCTACTATGCTTAACACTACTAGACATGAGAACATAGTTTGAAAAGAGCAAGACTGTAAAGTTTGTTAACCCGAACTAATCAAGTTATCCATATTCTTCGAGTCACTTTTTAAGTTGCATTCATCTTCTCTTCTGGATAATAGTTTCAAAAATCAAGTTAAATCGTTCTATCCTGGGAAGATATATTTACTAATTTTATTATTTGTTACAGTAATATAGTTTAATAACCAAATCTACTTGCTATAAAGAAGGCGAATAAAATTTATACATGTTCGATTAAGGTTGTCACTCGTAAAGCTTTAAAACAGAGTGTAGGCTATTAGTGATAGCAATGAGAGTCTTCCACTCAATAGATGTGGATCAGATTTTCAGTACTCTTTTCCCTTTCCGCGTCCCCGATCCACCTATAAATAATTTTTTTAAAAAACAAAAGAAATAGACCAATTGAACGGCAAAAAGTAAAGGGAGAAGGTCCAAAATTGCCCCTCTACTATGGTATATTGTTTACTTCTTCTGCCACCCGTTATACTTTTCGTCCAAATCTATCCCTACCGTTAACAAAGTTTGTAAAATTACCCCTAACTCTAATGTCATTCCACTGTGGCAGCTGACACCTCTAATATTTTATCTATGTCAGCAGCCAAGTTAGCAGGTTCCACCAAATAAAATGCTAAGGTGGAGCCCATATCACCACTTTTAATAATATCTTAGTTATTGCTTTTTTTTACAATAACGAAAGACAGTAGTTGCATGATTATTCTTTTTTTTTCTTGCAAAGAAACATAAGAATGAGAGGATAATCAGATTTCAGATTTGCTTGCAAAGATAATAAAGAAACATTCAGATTTTCCAAATCAAATTACATTTTCAGATTTGCTTGCAAAGAAACATAAGAATGAGAGGATAATCGGATTTCAGATTTGCTTGCAAAGAAAATAAAGATACATTCAGATTTGCCAAATCAAATTACATTTTCAGATTTGCTCACTAAGAAACATAAGAATGAGAGGATGACAAAATATGGTCGCCGACGAATCGTTCACCACCGGGCCTAGCCGATGGTGTAGATCTGAAAGTCGGAGAAATTTTTAGTCATAGATCTGCCATATATACATACTTCCAATGAACAAAACCAAACCACATCGCAGAAGACGACCATTTTCATCTATTTCCGGCAAGGTAACGCCAGTTAAGGCGTGGTGACAGTCACCGGATTCTGGCAGCATGGCCAGATGACGAAAATAAAGGGAAAACGGCGGCTGAGCATATGGAAGATGGACTACCACCTGATACGAAGGTCCGCCGGCCAGCCGATTACCAAATCCGGCGGCGACGATCACGGGCAGAGAAGAGGAAGAAGCGCGCCGCCCCTTTGTTCTCTCAAAGTGAGAGAAATCTCAAAGTAGTTATTGCATTTTTATTAAATTAGAAAATTTTGTTTTTTATCTTTTTCTAATTTTGATAAAGAAATATAATTTATTTGAGGATTAAATTACTTTCAATGGTGACATGGCAATTTATTTGGTGGAACCTGCTGACTTGGCTGCTGACATGGACAAAATATTAGAGGTGTCAGCTGCCACAGTGGAATGATGTTAGGGTTAGGGGTAATTTTACAAACTCTGTTAACGGTAGGGATAGATTTGGACGAAAAGTATAACGGGTGGCAGAAGTAAACAATATACCATAGTAGAGGGGCAATTTTGGACCTTCTCCCAAAAGTAAAAGAAGTACTATGCATCTTTAAAAATCAACAGCACTACAGGAGTGAAAAGATAGAACCTATGAGGAAAGATCTAATCATTAGTTCTTTCACTATGATATTTAATAGCAGGTGTCAAATAGGAGCATCAAGAGTAATTGAGCAAGCTAAATTGTATGATTCAATAAACAAGTTATCACTAAATTCGCCACAAGTTTATTTATTTCAATACAGGTTGAACAGTATGTCAAAGCTCAATCCACACGGCTCAATATCATTTTTCTATCTGTTTGATCTCCTTTTCTTTCAAAATATGTAGGTAAGCAACTGAGCTGTTGAAATATGATGTATCTGTCCATATAATTGAACTGATTCTACAGCCAAAATAACTTGTTTGTCTTTTTCTTTTCTTCTTATTTTTTTGGACAATTTCTTCCCATTATTAATGGTCAATGTGTACCCATATTGTGGCCATACCTTTTAACGGTTAAGGGTCTGATTTGCCCTTCTACTATGATAAATAGGCCTTATTTATTCTCCGTTTGAGTTTCTTATCAAAAATATCCCCACCGTTATACTTTTGTTTCACATTTGCCCTTTACCCGTTAAATATACCTTACCAGATTTTTTAGGGGCACGTGGCATCATTTGATTGGACCAGACGACCCGCCCCATTATTTTAATTAAAACCCGCCCGTTTTGGAGAAGTTCCTTATCATAGCGAAGAGAAGAAAATGCAGGAAATGTTTCCTGAATTGTGTTTCCCCATATTCGTCACAATTGGCTGCCAAATTGTTAGGTTGCCCAAGACCCCCCACCAATTTTATGATGATTTTCCAGGAGTCAGATTGAAGATGAGTAGAATGCAAGTGGCTATTTTCGCGGCTCACCAGAAATGGCGCTTTATAATTTATCCTTTGATTTACTACTGATGAAACTATAAATTTTTAACTTGTCTATTTTTGTGATCTTACCTTATGGCATGCCAGGTGTTATATATGCTTGGTGTCTCATGAAGCGTCTGTTGTTGCATCTAGACGTTGTACCTGTGCTTGAAACTTTCTTGCATCTTTTGGTGAACCTGTCAAGATGTGCAGATCCAAAAAACCATCTTTTTGATAATTAGGCTCATGGAATGTTGTGTTTTCCAACCTTTGTCTAATATCTTTCTGATCTATGATAATTAAAGTTATATGATTGGAGATGGTTCCTTGTTTGGGCATTTTCTTGAAGGAAAAAGTACTATCTGTTTACCCCGAATAATCCATAGCCTGTGTGATTTACAATGTTTACTGCTTTTACTTGAGGTTAAAGTCATAATAAGAGTGTTTAATTAGATCTTTCAGTTTGATCTTCTTGAAATCTTCATTCATGAGGCAGAGTTGAGTTGGCTACAACACCTTATCAGAGGTTGTAGAAGCTTGTGGAACACAACTTTCTTGATAAATGCAGGAGCAAAAGAGTTTCACATTGCGCCTTTTACCTCCCATGTTCCATATGAGTTAATCATTGCGAATGTTACTAGTTAGACCTTTGAGATTCTTCTTCATTCTATATTGGTTATAGGAAGTTACTTTGTGAGACTTCCTCCTAAAATTTTCCTACTTTTCAATTGTATACTTTGCTTGTACTGGATCGTCCTGCTTGGAGATTAACCTTTTTTCTAAATTAACATACATGCGTTTTCCGCATAATAAACTTTCTCCAAGTAATCAACAATGTCTCTTTTGACCTGTTTTTTTTTTTTTTTTATCCTTTCAGCTTCAAATTGGATTTTCTTCATTCCAAAATCATATTTTCCATCCTTATCATCATCATTTCCTTATTCTGTTTATCTTTCTGTGCCCTATTATGTCTGCCTTTTCATCTTCTTCAGCATTGGTATTCAAACATCTACATTTTTCTTGCCGTTGTTATGGTCATGCAAGGTCTGTTATGGTGGATTTTGAATTAAACCATCTGGTAGCTGTACTATGTATAAAGGGAAATAGGTTTGTTGGATTGTCTCTTGTTCAGTTGTTCTTTACTTGTCTGATTTCCTTTAATTCAGTACAAGGAATCATTTCGTTTCTTGTTTCTTTTTTGGAAGAATCTCTCACAGTGGCATTTCATTGATGAGCTGCACCACATTGTCCCTCGCTCTATTTCCCCTCTTTTTTTCTGCTTCTGTTAGCTGCCCATTTGGTAGTATTTCATCAACTTATGATGAACTATAGCCATTTGCTAATTTCTCAAGTCTTCAACAATATAGAAATTGGGCAAGAGTTGCTCTGTTTCCCTTTCTTCTTTCCTCCTTTTTGAATGGAAAATGACAGCTTCTCATGGATTAAACCAAGCCACTGGCAATGAATTTTTCAAATAGATCCATTCTCTTTATTTACCTCCTGCAATTTCAACCCTTCACCGACCTCTTCAAATATTAAGTATAGACAGTGCCGTATGAAAATTTTGCATAATCGGCATCGATATTTTATAAAGTGAACTTACAATATTAAGGTTCTAAAATCGCTTATGTTATGTTGAAAATCGGACTTTATAATAAATTCACAGTTAATGCCTGAAAAGTTTTTAAGAATGAAGTTATATCCCACATCAATTGTATTCAAAGGCATTGTGAGAACATGGGTGGATAATACAGAGGAATATGATATGTTTAGCTAGGAATGTTTGTCAAAAGTTTGTTTACGGTTATGTAACGCATGAAGCGATTA